AGCATTATAAGTATTGCTTGAGCTGTACCATAAAGTTGGTGGTATTCTAAGAAAATCTATATGATAGTTTTCTATTCAGATTTTCTAAAATGCTATTGATTTTATTTGTTCCATCAGTAAATGTTCAATATGTGTCCAAGTTGTTTTTAAAAATATGTAATTATAATTCCTAGAAGAATTTCAGGTTAACCAAGTTTTAGCATAAACACCCACACAATACAAAGGCATGGTTGAGTTAGTCATGCCAGGTAACTAGAATTAGAAAATTAGAAAGGAGGACTTGAGAGGAAGGTATGAGATGCACAGATATTAGTGAGAGAAGTGTGGGAGGTAATAGAAAATAAAATATCATAGTGTATGAAAGAAAATAAAACTGGTGTCTTATTTTTATTTCCCTATGCTTTTGCTCACACTTCTTTTTGCTGTATAGGCATTTAATGTGTATATACCTGAGGGACTGACCTCCATTGAATTGAACAATTGCTAATTGTTTTACATTATTTATAAAAATTGGAACTGCCCTGTAATTGTAATTTGATTTAAGTATGTCCCATTTTTATAATGAACTTCTCAGCGTTTGATACAATAAATCATTCTTTAGCCGCCAAGGTGGGTACACATCACTGGTAGAAAGAAATATCTATATTATGCCCTAAACCATAGGCACGAAGATGAACTTTCCTAAATTCTGTTGGTATGGGACATAATAGAAAGGAAATGGGAAGGGTTCTGAACCATACTTAACCTAGATTTTAGTTCTTCCACTTACTGCCAGTCATGTTACCTTATCTGCCTATCCCACAGTATCTCATCTTTAAAACAAAAGATTAAAAATGTTTGCTTTTGGGCCAGGCTAACCTCACTTAGAATGATGTTCTCCAATTCCATCCATTTACCAGCAAATGATAACATTTCGTTCTTCTTCATGGCTGCATAAAATTCCATTGTGTATAGATACCACATTTTCTTAATCCATTCGTCAGTGGTGGGGCATCTTGGCTGTTTCCATAACTTGGCTATTGTGAATAGTGCCACATGGGTGTGCAGGTGCCTCTGCCCAAAAGACCAAAAATCGTATGTTCTCCCTCATATGTGGACATTAGATCAAGGGCAGACACAACAATGGGATTGGACTTTGAGCACATGATAAAAGTGAGAGCACAAAAGGGAGGGGTGAGGATAGATAAGACACCTAAAAATCTAGCTAGCATTTGTTTCCCTTAATGCAGAGAAACTAAAGCAGATACCTTAAAAGCAACTGAGGCCAATAGGAAAAGGTGACCAGGACCTAGAGAAAAGGTTAGATCAAAAAGAATTAACCTAGAAGGTAACACACACGCACAGGAAATCAATGTGTGTCAATGCCCTGTATAGCTATCCTTATCTCAACCAGCAAAAACCCTTGTTCTTTCCTATTATTGCTTATACTCTCTCTACAACAAAATTAGAAATAAGGGCAAAATAGTTTCTGTTGGGTTTTGAGGGGGGGGAGAGGGAGGGGGCGGAGCAGGTGGTAAGGGAGGGGGTGGGAGCAGGGGGGAGAAATGACCCAAGCCTTGTAGCCTTGTATGCACATATGAATAATAAAATTAAAAAAAAAAAAGGAAACCAAAAAAAAAAATGTTTGTTTTTCTCGTAAAGGCAGAAAATTAACTTATATCTGGAGAAACAGAATGGCTTGTATTGTTTTAGAAATATTGTTTATTTGTTCTTTTTTTTCTAATCTGATGGAAGGAAATCAAACCCAAGATATTTCTCTCTACCAGTTTTTTCTGCAATGTCCATAAATGTGGATGAATTTCTCTCTCCTCTACTAAGATTCCTGGCTAGCCTGCAGGTAGCCTTCTTTACACCTGTAACCTTTGGGAACTTTAAACCAAGGGTCAGCACATTTTCTATAAAGGGCCAAATAGTAAATATTTGAACATTCAGGACCATAACATCTGGTATATAGTATTCCATTAGGGTTTCAAAGTAAAATTCCTTTAATTTTTATGACAATATTTTTGTTGGAGAAGAGAGGTAGAACATTCTATACCTTTCAGAGTGCTAAGAACAAATTCCCTAATGGAATACTATATACCAGATATTATTCTAATTATTTAAAAAAATTAGCTCACTCAATTATTGCATTATTTGCATTTTACAAAGTAAAAAATGAAGCACAGAGAGATTAATTAATTGCCTGAGATCACACAGCAAGTAGTTAGCAGAGATAGGATTTCAATGCAGGCTGTAGAGCCAATTAATTCTTTAAGAACCATAAAATTCTAAGTTTATAAAGCTCAAGATAGGGAAGACGAACTTTTTCAAAGTATAGTATACATATCTATGGAATTATCATAACGAAACCTCCTTGTATTATTAATGTATGCTAATATAATAATATGAATGGGGTGAATTTGATCGAAGTATATTATATGCATATTGTAATTAGCACAATAAAATCCCTTTGTATAATTAACTTATGTTAATAAAAATTTCTAAAAACCATTAGATATTATTTTGGCATAAGGCTTATTTCCAGCTTGAATGGATTCTAACTGAATAAAAATATGAATATTAAAAAACTGCCAGGCATGGTTATGTATGCCTGTAATCCCCGTCACTCAGAAGGTGGAGAGAGGAGGACTGTGATTTGAGGCCAGCCCAAACAAAAGTTGGTGAGACTCTATCTGAAACATAAACTAAAAGCAAAAAGACTGGAGGGCATGGTTCAAGTGGTAAAGCGCCTGCCTAGCCAGCATGAGGCTCTGAGTTCAAGTTCCAGTGCAACAACAACAAAAAGAAGTCAGAGAACTGAGGTAGCGCACTCTCTGTATAGATGATTCACACTTTAATGAGTTTCTAGAGGTGTAAACCAGCACCCAGAGCAGTGGGTGAAGCATAATGAATAAGCCTGACAGGAGGACATACTCTCTTTTCTAGAGACCAGGGGATAGGCTTGTGGGACTTGTAATGTCTGTACTTGCTTCTGCTTTCCTTCTAAATTTAATGTCTACAAAGTAACTGAGGCTCTGAAACGCAGATAAGGAAAATGAAGAAAGGGGGGTTCAATGAGTGCTGATCACTGTGGGACTGTGGCTCGATGGTTAACAAATCATTCTTACATCTTTAATGATAAAGGCATAAGGCTACGGAAGTCTTTAATCTGAAAGTAGTTGCTAGCCATAGTATTGACTATATGTTAATACGTTTGTTAACTCGTGTTTTGGGGGGATACGAATCTGAATTTTGTATTTAGTCGCAATGTATCTCTGAGTTTTGAGTGGAAACAAAAATGATTTTTCTTTTAGGATACAGCAGTCCCATGTGTTTCTCTTCTGCTATTCAAGTCCATGGATAGCCTTTTACCTGCTTTGGGAGAATTAGTTTGCATAACTAATTAAAATTAAAATAGCTGAGAGGTACCTTTTATTTCATTTAAAATCAAGTACACTACAGCTGGCATTTTGTAAATACAACTCTTTTAACAAAATGAAGGATGTTATAATTTCCTTAAAAGAAACTGACAAATATGGCAATCCTCCCAATTCTCCTTCATCTTCGGCTCCTTGTTTGTAGCCAATCCACAAAGGAAGACTCCCCTCCCAACTAGCCAGCCTCTCTGCAGGGTGCATTGCTGTGACATTGGGCACACCCTGTTTTGCCTGGTGCATACACACTTTGAGACTTTGAAGATGGAAATAATTTAAAAAATGGTGAAGAGATAAAATAAAGAGAACTGTTGTAAAATAACCGCTTTATCGGTAGATTATATTATATAACAGAAGACAATACTTGAAAGTTAAAAGCACAATAATGTGCTTCAAATTCCTTGAACAAAGGAGCTAGAAGGTAGACTAAAGACCATTTGCTGGGAAAATGGTCTTAGAATCACACATACTTTTTTTTTTAAATGTAAATTTGTTTCACTATATATATATAATTATATATTAAGAAATACATAAAATTGTATATATTGTATATATAGAATATATAGAGAGACCAGGAATGAAAACCTATGAAATTTATCATCTGTTCTTTTGTTTTGTTTTTATTTTTTTAAGATAGGTTCTTACTATGAAGCCCAGGCTGGCATGGAATTCTTGATGTTTCTGTCTAAGCCTCCTGAGTGCTGGGATTACAGGCACGAACCACCACACCCAGTGAGGTTTGTCATCTGCATAAGTACCAGGTAGACTATCGGAAGATAAAAATCTCCCATGTAAGTATAATTTCAAATCAACAGGAAGAGTCAACATTACTATTTTTCCCTGCCCAACAGTTTATTTTTCAAATCCTGTTACTCTACCATCCACCATTCATTCAGGATGAAAATAAAACTAAGGGATGGTTAGACATGAGCACTTTTCTTTCAGTTCTTTTTCAGATAGAGGCATGCATTTTTGCCCAGGTTGCCTCAGACCACGATCCTTCTACTTACAGCCTCCTATATAGCTGGGATAATACTTGTGTGACACCGTGCCAGCCTGTTTGTTGAGATGGGGGCCTCACCAACTTTTTGCTCAGGTTGGTCTCAAACCATGATTTTCTTAATCTCCACCTCATTAAATAGCTGGGATGACAGGCATAAGCCACTGTGCCTGACAGATATGAGTACTTCTTGGAGTGCTAACATTTTACATTGTTAACTGTGGTTTAAATCATCACCTTTTTGGATGCCAGGAGCAGACTTTGTCCAAAAGTAAGACACTGTACTTCTGAGAGGGGGCACACTGACCACAGACCAAGAACAGTGAGACCCAGGCAGAGGACAGTCTGTAGGCTTTATTCATTCACTTGGTCTGGGTCCCAGCACCTCAGTCACAGAGCACTCAGGTTCCCCTCAATGTTCTCTAGGGTTGTAACTTTAAAACTCAAGTCCCCCTAACACTTCATTTGCCCCATTATATTTCCCTTCATAGCAATTTACCTTGCTCTCAAAATGATTGACCTACTTTTTCTCATTCTTGAGATTTTACCCATATGTATAATCAGAGAAGAGAAAATTAACTTACCTGACATTGCAGTTGTTTGGATTAAACTCTGATTCTCAGCTTTAAAGGAGAGAAAAGAAAAAAAAAATCACTAAAATTAAATTGTGAGTATTAGAACTGATTTCACAACTGTTTTGAAGAAAAGTGGATCAAGATCTTAGCTTATTTCTGACTCACTTTTCCACAAATCATAGAATCATTGTGCTTCATTGCAACTACTTAGTTCTGCCTTTTAATGGGAATGTAGTCATACATTATACCTGAAGATTGGGTATGGCTATGTTCCAATAAAACTTTATTGAGAAAAATAGTCCAGGGGTGTGAACTGGGCTTGTGGATCACAATTGACTGAGTCTTGCTTTAGAGCATCAAGTAAAACTTCATTCCTGGAACCCAGTTAATGACAGATCCTATGGTAGCTGCTTCATGGATGGGAGTGCTGCTTGCTGACATGGTGCATCTCATCACTTGGGGAGGGTGCAGTTACTTTGGGAATGTAGGGGTTTTTTATGGTAAATACAACCTAAGAAAACTTTCTTTAAGGAAAGCCATTTGAGAGAATTAGAATCAAGGTCCTTTTACTAACTTTGTGTATAAGGAATATGGACAGGATTTGTTGCATTAAAAATAGAAATTAATTTTGAAACAACTAGAAGCCTAATAATGACATTTAAAAATATCTACTTGTCTCCTTTTTGTAGTCTCTTGACTACCAATTTCAGCATCTCAAATTTAACATGGCCCAAACAGAATCCTTGGCTGGTATTCTCAAATGCTCCTCTCCCCACATCACCTTGGATCAATGCATGGTACCATTGTCTTCCAGGTAAAGCAAAACATTAGTCCCTCCTGGAGTCACCTTGTTTTTCCTTTTTCTTGCTCCTATCAGCTATAGCTTCAAAATATGTTCGAAATTCATTCATCTCTCACCACAGCTTTGTTATTGTTCATCCAGTACTCAGCTCTCTGCCTTTAGTAACTGCAAAAGCTCCTAGAAAACTCTTACAATTAAAGCTTGACTGCTCTAGTGGCTTCCTTTCCTTACTCTGGTGGGTCAGTCTTTGCAGGATGTGAGGACTGCTGTCTTGCCCCTCGATTCATCTCCAGCTATTCAGTTCCCTGTTTTACCCTACTCTACATTGTGGCTTTGCAATAGTAGATCAAAGGTACAGGGCTCTTCCTGACCCAGGTTTCTCTTGCCCTTCCCTGTGTCTCAGTGTCCTTCCCTCAGGCCTACCCTGGTTTCTGTTTTCCTTTCCTAAGTCTGCTCAGATGTTGTTGTTTAGAGAAGTCTGTCCTACCTTGCCTGAATTGTCTCCTTCCTTTTACACCAGAGACATTTACTTTTCTTCTTTAAAAAAAATATTGTTGTTTCCTAGAATGTAACTCCCTGGGGACAGATATCCTATCTTACTAGAGCTGTGATTCCAGTGCCTACTACTGGGATGTGGCAAAGCAGGTGTCTAGTAGATAGAAAGTAATAATGATAAATAAAAGTAACCTTATTTACTTGAGTGCAAATTTTAAGATAAAATTGATATTTTAATAAAATTGCTACTTGGATAAGGATAACTATCATTTTAAGCACCTTTTATGATCAGTTCTGTATATTATTTGCTGACATCTATCAGAGGTATTATTCCCATTGTGCATATCTACAAGTATTAGCTGAGAGAAGTGATATAACTTTCTCAAAGGTAAAACCATGATTACAATTCAGGTCTGCTGGTTCCAAATCCTTTCATGAAAATAGTCAGCTTTTCCTTCCACTAAACTGTTCCAAATGTAAAGCTTATATAATTAATTCCTACTTTGATAACTAGGTATAATACTTTTGAACAAACATGCATAATGATGCACTGGGAAGATGCAGTTAAAATATTGATTAGCAACTAGAGAATTAAAATAGAAAGAAAATGAAAACCTTTCTTTCTCTTATTAATATCAGGTCATAACCTTTCTTGCTGACAGACGTGGTTAAGAATGAACAATTTTAGGCTTGCATCAGACAAAACCTTCTGAATATCCTTTATTTGAATTTCCTTTAACCTTCAAAGTGAATAGTTTTATATGAACATAAAATACACAAGAAACATAACTATGCCTTAAAACTTAGCTGAATTTTAAAGAAACAAATCAATTCAAAATGATTGAGTATCCTAAGGGACTTAGAGTATCTATCTATCTATCATCTATCTACCTATCTATCTATCTATCTACCTAATACAATTGATAGATGAATTAATTATGTGAGGACAAAGATTTCTGCAAATCTTTGCATTTAATCAAGAATGGAACATAGCCAAGCATGGTGGTACATGCCTTTAATCCCAACATTCAGGAGATAGAGGCAGGGGGATCACAAGTTTAAAGCCAGCCTGAACTCTATAGTGGGGAGGCACTGTCTCAAACTCTCTAAAACCCAAGGATGGGTATGTAGCTAAGTCTTGGAGCACTTGCTTACCATGTACAAAGCCCCCCTGACTTTATCTTAGCACCACAATGTGTGTGTGTGTGTGTGTGTGTAAATATTTTTAAGAGTATATAATGTTTTCATGTGAATACAACATTCAAACTTGGATTCAATTTGGTGAACACAAAAGTTTAGTACAAATGAATGCTTTGGAATATTGCTAAATTGATAGAAGAAACATTTGTGATTAGTCCTGGTTTTTATTTATAACATTGTATATAACTTTAATGACACATATGTATTGTGAGAAAAGGCCAAACTGTGATATGTACAGTAATGAGGAAAACCAAGTAGCGAATAAATACTAGCTGTTAACCATTCTCAAAGGTAGGTGTTAATAAAGAACAAAACCTTTAGTCAGAGTGGTTGGCAATTTGAAAGGTTTTTGTTGAGTTTGATTCTCTAATATCAAACTGCTATTTCACGAAATTCAAATAAATTTCACATTTATCCTAAACTAAATTTACTCAGTTATCTTTTGAATCAGAAACTTCAGTAAGGGGAGATCCAAGATGGTGACTGGGACACAGCTGCAAGACCATGTGAGTTCCATGAACCAGGGACTTTGCTGAGATTCTGGAGACAAACTTGGCTGAAGTAAAGCACCAGGAAGAGCTGAAAGTATGGAACTCTAAACCCCTAGATTGTGGAAGGCTTCTCCATGCCACAATCTGCTAAAAGTACAGCTGGTCTACCAAGTCCCCACCCCAAAGGCCCCCAATGCTGCTGCTCCACTCCACCAGGCTCCCCACCCCTGGGGACCCACCAGGCCCCAACTCCACATGAGACCTCGCAGATCCATTCCCAGGTGGGTTCCCCGCCCTTAGGTGCCCTGCCCCTTGGGCCCCGCTAGACCCTAGCTCTGCATGGGACCACTGGCTCCACACCCTGCCTGGATCTCCACCCCATGGGCCCCACCGGGCTCCAGCTCCATGTGGGACCACTGGATCCATGCCCCACTGGGTCTCCAGCCCCTTGGGCCACACCAGGTCCCAGCTCTATAGGCTTGCCAGATAGCTGCTCCACCAGGCTCCTGCTTGGCAGGCTGTCACAGGAAGGCTCCAAACCTGCCTAAGAGACACAGACAGACAGGACTGGATGCTTAAAGAATAACATCAGAACAACTAAGACTGCAACTCTACTGTTTCAGAACTGGTGATTTTTTTTTTTCCCCTTCTTTAAGGTTTGGATGTCTGGTTTGCTGTTTGATCACCCACCATCTCCCATTTTTTCACTTTTTTCTATTTTTTTCTTTCTTTCTTTCTTTTATCTTTCCTTCTCTTTCTCTTTTTCCTCCTTCTCTCTTGGTTTTGTTAGTATTAATATTGTAACCGAGTTAATACTAAATTATACATAGTTTAGGGACAGAAATGGTACCTAGTGGAAATATGGGTTGACAAAAAAGGAATGGAAACAATTCTCCACCCAAAAATAAAGTAGTACAGAATTTAGAATGAAATGAAGAAACTGGATACCCAGATCCAGACTTCAACAAAACAAAGATAAACTATACCAAGGAACCCTATGAAGCCCACAAGATCATTCTGAAAGAAGAATCTTGCAAGTAATTAATGAGAATTTCATAAAGATGTTACTAGACATGGTCAACCAAAACATACAGGAGGCACTCAAAAATTCTAAGACAACAAAAATAAAAAATATGAGAAAACACAGAAACAAACAGTGAAATCATAGGAGCCCTAAATAAACACCAAACTGAAACAGAGAACACCAAAAACAGAGAGATAAATGAATTAAGGGTGAAAATTGATAATATTAAAGAGGAAGTAACCTATGATATGGAAAACCTCAGGAAAAAGAATGAAACAGAAATACAAAACAAAATGGAAGGCCAGTCCAGCAGAATAGAACAAGCAGAAGACAGAATCTCAGAACTTGAAGATGAAATGGCAATTAAGGGAAAACTGAAGAACTATTAGTCAAACAACTCAAGACCTGTGAAAAGAAAATGCCAGAACTCACTGACTCCATCAAAAGACCAAACCTGAGCATCATGGGCATTGAAGAAAGAAAAGAGACACAAGCAAAAGGAATGTGTAATATATTCAACAAAATCATAACAGAAAATTTCCCAAATCTAGAGAAAATGATGCTTATTCAGGTAGAGGAAGCCTCCAGAACACAGAACAGACCTGACCAAAATAGAACTCTCCCATGACATATTATTATTAAAACAACAAGTACAGAGACTAGAGAAAGAATATTGAAGTCTATAAGAGAGAAAAAACAAATAACATACAAAGGTAAACCCATCAAAATCACAGCAGATTTCTCAACAGAAACCTTAAGGGCAAGAAGAGCATGGAGTGGGGTCTTCCAGGCACTAAATGAAAATAAATTCAATCCTAGGATACTTTACTCAGCAAAACTATTATTCAAAAATAGATGGAGTAATAAAAGCCTTCTATGATAAGCAGAAACTAAAACAATATGTGACCACCAAGCCACCACTACAAAAGATTCTCCAAGGAATTCTGCATAGAGAAAATGAAAGCAAACAAAACCATGAAAGGGCAGGCAATACCAAACCACAGGAGAAGAAAAGGCAAGAAAGTAGAGAGTAACA